GTCGTTTCGGAATGAACAAATTACAATTATCGTTAAATTAAATAAAACATGGGTTTTGACTTGAATATAGTACTAAAAGAAATGCTGATGACAGAATTATGATTACTTTTAATTTTTCGATTTTTTTTTTGAGAACAATTTTTCGATTAATTGTTCAATGCCTTTTGTCCAAAACTCTCCCATTGTCAGTAGATGGTAGAATAGCAGATGTGGGTAGAGATGAGAGATGTCGACAAATTTAGGGCTAGGGTTTGTTTAAATCGCATTTATACATAATATCTTAGTTGTAGTTAAGGAAAACTATCAAATAAGTCTCAGATGTTATAAAATAAATAAATTTTTTTTCTCCTTATTTGAATGATTTTAAACAGTTTTGGTAAGTTTTTCTCTATAATGTCAAGGAGACCGTCTAGATGTTGACATTGTTGTTGACATTGCAGGGAAAAACTTATCAAAATTGTATAAAATCATTCAAATAAGGAGAGAGATAATTTATTTGCTACTCCCTCAGTCCGAAATTGTAAGATACATTTACTATTCACTTGGTCAACATAAATCACTCTTGATCTTTTACTTTATATATCAAAAGTTTATGAAATTTGAATTATTTTTTGCAGGCTTTGTAGCGGTTTTAATGTAGTTTCTGAATATGTAAATTTTATTTTCTAAAACTAATTTGAATGTTAACAGGGATCAATTTGCTTTATCGTCGGTCAAACATCGTAAACCGTAAAGTATCATACAAATTGGGACGGAAGGAGTAATATTTATGTGGTCATCACTCATGCCACATGTGCACCGTGCACATTATAGCATTGGAGATGCTCTAAGTTGTCATAATTCAAAATGAATGGACTGAATCCTAAAACTTAAAAAAGCACTCAATTGAGGGGTTGAACATGCAAACAACGTGTTTCAAGATTAAATGAATATGTTGTCTGCCACTTCAGACATTTTTTTTAATGTTTTCTATAGTTCTATAAACTTTATGAGCTACATCACGGTGCTCCTAATAGCTACACACCCACTCTCCAATTAAGTTTTAACAATTTGAGAACTAATGGCTTTTTGACTTTTTCTCTATGAGGTAGTGTGGTAAGTACAACCCTTCTGTCAGCGAAGCCACCGGTGAGCAGCCAAAGGGAGGCGGTCCCTGTAATCAGGGGTTAGGGCTTCAACAAGGACGGCGCCACGGTGGCAATATAGTGGCGGATATCTTCCACTCAAAAATATAAAAACAACTGGAATATAATTCATGGTATTTATCACCTAGTAGTATTTCAAGGAGTACATTCTGGATACTAGGTGTTGCGGCCATAGAGGTTCAACCGCCTGACCGCCACCTACAAGGTGTACATTTTGGATGAGGCGCGCAGGATAAGGAGGGGATATGTATTCCTTACTCACGCCCGAGCGTATCTGGCTCCTCCTACACCTGGAAAGTCATATTCGGCAAGTTTGACAAGACCGGACCGATTGGAAACTTCATAGTGGATGAACAAATGAATAATGTTTGTGTTCTTACTTGTGTTGCTAAACCTCTTTCTAACTAGTCATTGAGACACACAAGGAAGATGAACTTTAATACCGCTCTTCTTTCCATGCTTCTTGGGAGTATGTTCTGATAGATGATTTTTGGTGATTTTATTGTAAGCTTATTATTTATGACTCAGTTTTTCCTAGTACGCATGATAAACGATCATGCGTAGCAATGTTCAAACCTTTGATTACATTATTCATCTAACCTCTGTTGTTTGATTCTCCATATATATGTAAGTATATCAATATCCTGTCTAGTTAGTGCCTTGTGACTTCGATTTCTAGGGGCGGACAGTGGACTTATCGTATAATATGGGTTCGCATAATAGGCTACACCTCAACAAAGATATATCCATTAGCCTTAGTGGTAAACTTACATTATTTAAATATTGTTGGAAGCTTCATGTCAAATCTCTATTTTTGACATGAGGCTTCTTCATAAACATTAGTATTTTTTAACAAATCTGTAAATGTTTTTCTCCATTTTTTATATTTTATTTTCTTCTATATTGAAGTGAATAATCCGTGTCTATGTTTTAAATTTCATTTTTCACTATGTATTTTATTTCGTTTATACACTTGATAAGTTGAATTTATTAGCCAAAAAATATCAATACATTACATATATGGAGCATGTAATATATTATTACAACTTATTATCCAATTTTTATTTTCCCTTTTTGAGATGCTATGCGTTGTTTTTTCTCATGTTGATATTTATAATGAAATTTGATACGGAGTATATAATTTTACTGTACATATCATCTACTCCCTCATTTCTTTATCACTTTGTCAACTTTTTTTGTTATCTTATTAACTTTGTCATTGTCCACAAATTTAATATTCTATTAATTTGTGATATCTATTAATTTTCTCTTCTCTCCACAAACTTCAACCACACAATTATTATTTTATTATTTTATTTGCCAATCAAGTTTGGCAAACGGAGTTGAGTCATGTTATCGGTCTAGTCTAGTTTCAATGTGTCATAGTTGTATTATACGTATTAATATTGTGTGTGCGTACTCTTAGCTCCAATGCTTAGATATGTCACTGTCGACTTCATTGAACTAATTCTAAGCTCCCAAGGTCCATCAATACCATTGAGAGATGTAAATCCTAGTTGCTCAAACAACCCATTAGATTCTCACTGTCATACAAGAAATTAGTTTTAACTGATTGATTGTGTGTGTCCTTAGATTTCTATGCCAGCACAACTACTAGGAGAATTATAGCCGATTAGTCAAATATCACCATATTCTCAGCAAAAGCTAACTCTAACACTACCGTTTGAGGCAAATGAAACAATGATCTTGCGACCACGGGAGCTAGCCCAGGGGGCGAGGGGTCATTCTTTGAGAAATTCCTCTCAAATTAATCGTGACTTGAACTCAAGACCTTCCACATAAGTTCAGAACAAATCAAAAAATTTCAATCCCAAGTAAAAATATCCTTAATGATACACGAATTTTATCATTCACCAACTGTATAACAGTAATTTGGTAACAAACCCACACAATATCAAGAATAATTCTTGATATTCTATGTCTTAAATATGGTTCTTAAAAATAATTTTGATACTCTGTCATGCCCCTCCCAGTGGCGGAAACAGGGGGTGACAAAGGGGAGATGCTGCCCCTCCAAAAAAAATCTAAGTATATTTACTCCAAAATTTTAAATGCATATGTATTTGTTTGTATATTTTTGTACTGCCGCTCCTGTTACCGAAATTTCCTGTGTCCGCCGCTGACCCCTCCTGTTTTCTAACCATCAAGAGATCGATTAATTAATTAACTAAAATGATTATATTCATCATTACAATACGTTTCGATTAGCTTCTTTGTCTCCATTAAATGGATTCATCAACCACTCGTTTCTTTCAAAAGTTATGCATATACATCATTTTAATTAATTAAATTTCACCCAAACAGGTTAATGTTCTTTAAATGGGTAAAAACATTCATACTACGCTACTGATTTGAAAGCCCAGAAATTGGCCTCCAATAGCAAAATGAGAGTTGTAGTGGACCAGTGTGTAGAACTGAAGCTGTTGAGGCATTGCATTATTGGAGTATTGGATTTATGCTGAATTAAGTGATGTTAGCTATCTAACCATCTTCTTCTAATGGAGAGAAGAGCTCAAATCATGGTAAATTGGTAATCATCTTGTTTTAAGTAAACCAGCTGGCCGGCATGAGGATGAGGAATATATATTATAATATTGATTACTCTGTATAATAAATTACTAATAATAACTATACTGTTACTACCACATGCAACAATAAAGCAGTTAATGCACTCACTTAAATGATGAAATAATTGCTGCAGAATACAAGTGACGAAAACGGATAAATCTGCAGTTAAAATTAGGGTATGTTATTTTGTATGTACAAATTTCAAATTTGCTAAAATAATTTACAATCAAAAGATATCAACTCGTTAGGGGGTGTTTGGGTTTCGGCGTTTCAGCCAAAACGCTAAACACAAGGTAAATTGCAAATTGCAGCGTGTTAGATGTTAAGTTTCTATGTTCACTTAATATTGCATTTCATTATATGCATATAGGTGGGAAGAAGCTAATACCGTAAGGATGGAGATGAATGGGATAGGAATAAAAAAGTGTGCAGGTTACAGTTGGATAACCGTTAAGAATTGTGTGCATGTTTTCCGAGCAAAGGACACAACTCATGTGAAGTACCCAGAAATTTTTGCAATGTTGACTAAACTAAGGAAAGAGATGAAAGGGGCAGGTTATATCCCGGAGACCAATTTGGCTCTTTATGATTTAGAAGAGGAAGAAAAAGAATCTGAAGTTTGGTACCATAGTGAAAAGCTTGCACTTGCATTTGGTCTCGATCATCACTATTCCTCATGGAGTTCCTATACGAATAACAAAAAATATCAGAGTTTGTGTGGATTGTCATAGTGCTATTTGTTGGAAATATGATGATATAAATGTTATTTATTTAGTTCTCTTTTTTGAGTACTAAGATGATATGTATAAAATATGAATTGAGTGTGACCTAACATACATCAAAGAACAATTTTTTATGTTTGGATTTATATCATTTAATGATTAAAATCCATAGTTGTAAAGATTGTAAAAGTGATGTATTGTGAATTTTTGCTACGTTTATAAAATAGTTGGTCCTCTTTAGATTTATATGATAAAGGAACATTGTTCAAGTATTATATAAAATGACTTAGAAATTATTTCATCAGAATCACTTATTCGTACAGACTAATTAAATGAGCGTCGAATAAGGATTTTTGGACTGTAATTTCAAGAAAGCGGACCATATGATTTTATAACAAACATTTTAATATGTTTTGTTTATCATTGTGTAATGATAAATTGCCAACGTGACATTTAGCTTATTTCGGAGAATTTCAAAATTGAAATTTTGAACTACCGATGAGTAAGCTATTAGCTTGGTCAATGCAGTTGTGGATCCTAAAACTTTGGATGGTGGCAAAATAATAGGACCGCATATCATGTATATTTTATTCTGATTTCCGATTTAATAATCCACTGACATGCATGCTCTCATGAGATAAGTCATATAACACCTTCGTATGAAAAGATAATACATATACTCCTATTCATTCCTTCCTTACGGAACACAAGTACCAAGGAGCTAGATATTACTCCATTCTTTCTTTCACTCATTTTCACAAGCGAGTAATATTCTGCCTTCCATACGAGAGCATCAGTAATCCATAATTTCTCAAAAACTTATATCTACTTTCTGAGTCTACGGCAAATCGGGCAACGGTCGAAGTGTTTCTGTCAAGCAAGCTAAAGGACCGGAACAGAGGTAGGATTATCCTGGGAGCGAGTTGGCCAGTCCCGTTCGAGTAGCTATCGAGATACGGGGGCTATCTTTCTTCAAGGCCAGTCCGGTTAACGGACGATCTTACGCTAAGTCTTCTTTTCTATACTTTTTATATTAATATTTTATTTCTAATTATTGTTTCTATTTTATTTGTTCTTGCATTTGGTGGTTTGTCTGGTGATTTGTGTTTAAACTCGGGATTTTATCTGTCTAAACTCGCCATTTAAATACTATTTTTCTAACAATCTTGAAGAAAGATATTATTTCTCGAGTTTTGAAAATCCAATATGACGAACTTGGAAAATGCTGCTACTTCTGAAAACGTTGTTGTTGAGAATAATGTGAATGAAATCCCTGAAAATAATGTTAATTCTGTGTCTGTGACTAATTCTGGAGACACACCTGAATTTGTTGCCACAGGCTCTCACAGGGTTGATTTGACCGGAATGCCTGAAAAATTTTCTGGGCATTTTTTCAAGCGTTGGCAACAACGCATGAAAATTTGGTTAATCACCAAGGGTTTGCTCTCGGTAATTATGACAGTGTGTCCCCCCGTTGTCGAGTCTGATCCCAAGAGTCTTGAACGCCAAACTTTATGGCGTGAGAGGAATGAAATAGCCAAAGGAATGATATTGTTGGGACTCTCCGACATGTTATTTGATGTCTATTGCACCCTCCACGGCACGGCTAAAGACCTTTGGGATGAGCTGGATAGGAAATATAATACTGATGACCACGGTCTGGAAAAGTATATTGTTTCCAAATTCTTGAGATTCGACATGAAAGAGGGAAAATCTGTTTTAGAACAAACACAAGAATTTGAGCTTATCTTACATTCTCTCCGTGAAGCAGATATGGAATTGCCTGAAAAATTTAAAGTCATGGCTGTAATTGAAAAATTCCCCAAATCGTGGGAAGATTTTGGTTTGACTTTAAAACACAAAATGAAAAAGATAACTTGGAAAAGTTTGATGCATTCCATTACTATTGAGGAAGAACATAAGAAAGCGGGTTATATTGTGCCTGTTGAATTTCAGCCAAAAGCTCATGTTGTAACCGGGGGAAAGCAGTCACAAAATTCTAAAAATAAACAACCATCATCTTTTAAACCAATAAAGGCCAAAGTAAAAATTGCAAAGAAACCAAAGGCAAACCGGCCATGCTGGAACTGTGGACAGATGGGGCATTGGGCCAAATTATGCCCAAATAAAAAGGCTAAGGCTCAATCTGGTGGACCTCAAGTCAACGTGGTGACTGGAGGAACTAGTTCCGATGGGTATGTTTCTTTTAACCCTCAAGTTTTCACTATTTATAATTCCAATGAGTGGCTAATAGATACAGGGGCGAATGTGCATGTATGTGCTGATAAATCGCTCTTTGTTTCTTATCAGCCTGCGGTTGGAAGGACAGTGATGATGGGAAACACAAGTGCTGCTAATGTGCATGGAGTTGGAAAAGTAGAAATAAAATTTCCTTCGGGAAAAATTCTTACTTTACATGGAGTGCATCATGTTCCCGAAATTAGAAGGAACATTGTTAGTGGTTCCATTCTTGTTAGAGAGGGTTATGAATTGTCTTTTAAATTAAATAAAGTTGTAATTTTATTTGGTGGAACTTTTATTGGCAAGGGTTACTTGTCAGATGGACTTTTTAAGATTGTGGTTGATTATTTGGAATTAAATTATGTATCTGAGAATTGTGATTCTTCAACTTTATGGCATTTTCGTTTGGGTCACATTAATTTAGATTCTGTGAAAAGAATGATGAATTTAAATTTAATTCCTAAACACTCTATTGATAAAATTAAGAAATGCTTGGTATGTGCTACTACGAAACAAGTAAGAAAACCGTATCATTCAATTGATAGAAATTCTGAATTACTTGATTTAATTCATACCGACATTTGTGAGTTTAATGGAGTGTTGACTCGTGACAAAAAGAAATACTTTATCACTTTTATTGATGATTATTCTAAATACTGTTATGTGTATCTACTTAAGGGTAAAGATGAAGCTCTTGAAAAATTCTTAATTTTTAAGAATGAAATAGAGACTCAAACTGGCAAGAAAATTAAAAGGTTAAGATCTGACAGGGGAGGAGAGTACACTTCTAATTTAGTTGTACTAGAATGCCAAAAATATGGTATAGTACATGAAGAAACACCTCCTTATTCACCACAATCAAATGGAGTAGCTGAACGGAAAAATAGAACTTTTAAAGATATGATTAACAGTTTATTAGAGAATTCTGGATTACCTAAGTTTATGTGGGGGGAAGCCTTGAATACGGCCTGCCATATTCTGAACAGGATTCCCATGAAACATAAAGATAAGTGTCCATTTGAACTCTTGATAGGCAGAAAACCAAGTTTAAAATATTTTAAAGTGTGGGGCTGTCTTGCAAAATTATTAGTCCCTGAACACAAAAGAAAGAAACTTGGGCCCAAAACTGTTGATGCTATTTTTATTGGTTATGTTGAACATTCTTATGCATTGAGATTTTTGGTTATTAAATCTGAAATTTTTGGCATAGATGTTAATACTATTATAGAACTTCGTGATGCTACTTTCTTTGAAAATGTTTTCCCAATGAAAACGGGTGTCCCCCAAAATATTTCTTTTAAAAATCAAGAAACCACATTTAATTCAATTCCTGATCAAGTGGAAAAGATGACAAATGTGGGGGTAGAATCTAGTAGTACTAGTCTCGCTAGTTTTGAATCAAATGAACTAGATGAGCCTAGAAGGAGCAAACGGGCTAGGACCACTAAGGAATTTGGAAGTGATTTTATCACTTACAATATTGAGGGTGATCCAGTTTCCTTTAGAGATGCAATGGCTACTTCCGAAGCCATGCATTGGAAGGATGCCATTAAAAGTGAAATGGACTCCATTGTTCAAAATGGAACATGGGAGCTCGTTGATCTACCTCCCGGGTGTACTACTATTGGGTGTAAATGGATTTTTAAGAAGAAATTAAAACCAGATGGAACCATTGATAAATTTAAGGCCAGATTAGTTGCCAAGGGTTACAAACAAAAAGAAGGTATTGATTTTTTCGATACATATGCTCCGGTTGCAAGAATGACCACAATTAGAATGCTTATAGCAATGGCCTCCGTATATGGTCTTAAAATTCATCAAATGGATGTTAAGACAACTTTTCTTCATGGTGACCTTGAAGAAGAAATTTATATGGACCAGCCTGAAGGATTTGTGGCAAAAGGCAATGAGAGAAAAGTTTGTAAATTAGTTAAGTCTCTATATGGACTTAAGCAAGCCCCTAAGCAATGGAACGAAAAATTTGATAAAATAATTCTTTCGTTTGGATTTACTCTTATAGATGCTGATCAAAGTGTTTATTATAAATGTAAAGGTGATATTAGTATTATTTTATGCCTATATGTTGATGATATATTATTATTTGGCACTAATGATAATATTATTTTTGAGACAAAGTCATTTTTAAAAACAAAGTTTGAAATGAAGGATATGGGTGTGGCTGAAGTAATTCTTGGACTAAAGTTGACTAGATCAACCGAAGGAATTTCTATTTCTCAGTCGCATTATATTGAAAAATTAATTGAGAAATTTGGATTTAAAAATAGTAGAATTGCTAAAACACCCTATGATCCTTCAGTAGCTTTGTATAAAAATGAAAGTGGTGTTCCTGTGTCTCAATTAAGATATTCTCAGATGATTGGTAGTTTGGGTTACTTAGCTAACTGTACTAGACCTGATATTGCATTTTCAGTGTCTAAGTTGAGCCGGTACACTTGTTGTCCAAACAGAACTCATTGGGAGGCCTTAGATAGAGTATTTAGATACTTAAAAGGAACTATTTCCTTGTGTTTGCATTATGGTAAATATCCTCCTGTTCTTGAGGGATATAGTGATGCAAGCTGGATAGCTAAGAACTCCGGGAGTTATATGGATGTACCGGCTATGTGTTTACATTTGGTGGTGGGGCTGTTGCCTGGAAGTCCACTAAACAAACGATACTTTCTCGGTCTACTTTTGAGGCTGAATTGTGTGCATTGGATACTACTGGAATTACGGCTGAATGGTTTATGGGATTAATGTCTGAGTTACCAATATTTAGCAAGCCAATTCCACCTATTTGTTTGCATTGTGATAGTATGAGCACAATTGCAAAAATTAGGAGTACCAAGTATAATCAAAAGACTAGGAGACACATTCAAGTTAGATTAAAAACTATAAGGAAATTTGTGTCTCAAGGGGTGTTTGCTGTTGATTTTGTTGGATCCAAAGATAATACAGCGGACCCGTTAACAAAAGGACTTGATTTAAATCAAGTGATAAAATCCAGGTTAGGAATGGGACTGACACCCAATAATTATTCAACTACGGTAGCAACCCAACCTATCTGAGTGGAGATCCCATAAAGTAGGTTCAATGTGGTATAAACAAATCGTAGTGTGAATTGTGCATCTCATTAAAATATTTTATGAGTTCTATTCCTTGATAAGCCTGAGAGATGCTGAAATTGCTAAGTAAGTAAGAGTTTAAGACTCTGAATGGGATCGAGTTTTAATACCAGAGTGTTAGCAATGCACTCTTGGAGATGCCCAACTATGAGAATGTTATTGTGTGGCCGCAATAAGAGAATAGGGGTTAATTCTCGATGACATTCTTGAGACAGGATCGGGACACACGGCCGTAAAGCGTCAACCCTATAGATCGTTGCCATTGCCATTAGTGTGTTGTTTTTATCCCACACCAACACTATTAAGGTTCGAGTTCAAGAACTCTGTTCACTCAGTTCCTGTGGGGGTTAGGGATAAAATCTTAGAAGTTGGTTCAAACCGGAAGGTACCATATTCGAAAGCACACTATGTCTGTTAGAGTCTAGTCTGCAACTATGGATTTGTGGGGGATTGTTGGAAATATGATGATATAAATGTTATTTATTTAGTTCTCTTTTTTGAGTACTAAGATGATATGTATAAAATATGAATTGAGTGTGACCTAACATACATCAAAGAACAATTTTTTATGTTTGGATTTATATCATTTAATGATTAAAATCCATAGTTGTAAAGATTGTAAAAGTGATGTATTGTGAATTTTTGCTACGTTTATAAAATAGTTGGTCCTCTTTAGATTTATATGATAAAGGAACATTGTTCAAGTATTATATAAAATGACTTAGAAATTATTTCATCAGAATCACTTATTCGTACAGACTAATTAAATGAGCGTCGAATAAGGATTTTTGGACTGTAATTTCAAGAAAGCGGACCATATGATTTTATAACAAACATTTTAATATGTTTTGTTTATCATTGTGTAATGATAAATTGCCAACGTGACATTTAGCTTATTTCGGAGAATTTCAAAATTGAAATTTTGAACTACCGATGAGTAAGCTATTAGCTTGGTCAATGCAGGTGTGGATCCTAAAACTTTGGATGGTGGCAAAATAATAGGACCGCATATCATGTATATTTTATTCTGATTTCCGATTTAATAATCCACTGACATGCATGCTCTCATGAGATAAGTCATATAACACCTTCGTATGAAAAGATAATACATATACTCCTATTCATTCCTTCCTTACGGAACACAAGTACCAAGGAGCTAGATATTACTCCATTCTTTCTTTCACTCATTTTCACAAGCGAGTAATATTCTGCCTTCCATACGAGAGCATCAGTAATCCATAATTTCTCAAAAACTTATATCTACTTTCTGAGTCTACGGCAAATCGGGCAACGGTCGAAGTGTTTCTGTCAAGCAAGCTAAAGGACCGGAACAGAGGTAGGATTATCCTGGGAGCGAGTTGGCCAGTCCCGTTCGAGTAGCTATCGAGATACGGGGGCTATCTTTCTTCAAGGCCAGTCCGGTTAACGGACGATCTTACGCTAAGTCTTCTTTTCTATACTTTTTATATTAATATTTTATTTCTAATTATTGTTTCTATTTTATTTGTTCTTGCATTTGGTGGTTTGTCTGGTGATTTGTGTTTAAACTCGGGATTTTATCTGTCTAAACTCGCCATTTAAATACTATTTTTCTAACAATCTTGAAGAAAGATATTATTTCTCGAGTTTTGAAAATCCAATATGACGAACTTGGAAAATGCTGCTACTTCTGAAAACGTTGTTGTTGAGAATAATGTGAATGAAATCCCTGAAAATAATGTTAATTCTGTGTCTGTGACTAATTCTGGAGACACACCTGAATTTGTTGCCACAGGCTCTCACAGGGTTGATTTGACCGGAATGCCTGAAAAATTTTCTGGGCATTTTTTCAAGCGTTGGCAACAACGCATGAAAATTTGGTTAATCACCAAGGGTTTGCTCTCGGTAATTATGACAGTGTGTCCCCCCGTTGTCGAGTCTGATCCCAAGAGTCTTGAACGCCAAACTTTATGGCGTGAGAGGAATGAAATAGCCAAAGGAATGATATTGTTGGGACTCTCCGACATGTTATTTGATGTCTATTGCACCCTCCACGGCACGGCTAAAGACCTTTGGGATGAGCTGGATAGGAAATATAATACTGATGACCACGGTCTGGAAAAGTATATTGTTTCCAAATTCTTGAGATTCGACATGAAAGAGGGAAAATCTGTTTTAGAACAAACACAAGAATTTGAGCTTATCTTACATTCTCTCCGTGAAGCAGATATGGAATTGCCTGAAAAATTTAAAGTCATGGCTGTAATTGAAAAATTCCCCAAATCGTGGGAAGATTTTGGTTTGACTTTAAAACACAAAATGAAAAAGATAACTTGGAAAAGTTTGATGCATTCCATTACTATTGAGGAAGAACATAAGAAAGCGGGTTATATTGTGCCTGTTGAATTTCAGCCAAAAGCTCATGTTGTAACCGGGGGAAAGCAGTCACAAAATTCTAAAAATAAACAACCATCATCTTTTAAACCAATAAAGGCCAAAGTAAAAATTGCAAAGAAACCAAAGGCAAACCGGCCATGCTGGAACTGTGGACAGATGGGGCATTGGGCCAAATTATGCCCAAATAAAAAGGCTAAGGCTCAATCTGGTGGACCTCAAGTCAACGTGGTGACTGGAGGAACTAGTTCCGATGGGTATGTTTCTTTTAACCCTCAAGTTTTCACTATTTATAATTCCAATGAGTGGCTAATAGATACAGGGGCGAATGTGCATGTATGTGCTGATAAATCGCTCTTTGTTTCTTATCAGCCTGCGGTTGGAAGGACAGTGATGATGGGAAACACAAGTGCTGCTAATGTGCATGGAGTTGGAAAAGTAGAAATAAAATTTCCTTCGGGAAAAATTCTTACTTTACATGGAGTGCATCATGTTCCCGAAATTAGAAGGAACATTGTTAGTGGTTCCATTCTTGTTAGAGAGGGTTATGAATTGTCTTTTAAATTAAATAAAGTTGTAATTTTATTTGGTGGAACTTTTATTGGCAAGGGTTACTTGTCAGATGGACTTTTTAAGATTGTGGTTGATTATTTGGAATTAAATTATGTATCTGAGAATTGTGATTCTTCAACTTTATGGCATTTTCGTTTGGGTCACATTAATTTAGATTCTGTGAAAAGAATGATGAATTTAAATTTAATTCCTAAACACTCTATTGATAAAATTAAGAAATGCTTGGTATGTGCTACTACGAAACAAGTAAGAAAACCGTATCATTCAATTGATAGAAATTCTGAATTACTTGATTTAATTCATACCGACATTTGTGAGTTTAATGGAGTGTTGACTCGTGACAAAAAGAAATACTTTATCACTTTTATTGATGATTATTCTAAATACTGTTATGTGTATCTACTTAAGGGTAAAGATGAAGCTCTTGAAAAATTCTTAATTTTTAAGAATGAAATAGAGACTCAAACTGGCAAGAAAATTAAAAGGTTAAGATCTGACAGGGGAGGAGAGTACACTTCTAATTTAGTTGTACTAGAATGCCAAAAATATGGTATAGTACATGAAGAAACACCTCCTTATTCACCACAATCAAATGGAGTAGCTGAACGGAAAAATAGAACTTTTAAAGATATGATTAACAGTTTATTAGAGAATTCTGGATTACCTAAGTTTATGTGGGGGGAAGCCTTGAATACGGCCTGCCATATTCTGAACAGGATTCCCATGAAACATAAAGATAAGTGTCCATTTGAACTCTTGATAGGCAGAAAACCAAGTTTAAAATATTTTAAAGTGTGGGGCTGTCTTGCAAAATTATTAGTCCCTGAACACAAAAGAAAGAAACTTGGGCCCAAAACTGTTGATGCTATTTTTATTGGTTATGTTGAACATTCTTATGCATTGAGATTTTTGGTTATTAAATCTGAAATTTTTGGCATAGATGTTAATACTATTATAGAACTTCGTGATGCTACTTTCTTTGAAAATGTTTTCCCAATGAAAACGGGTGTCCCCCAAAATATTTCTTTTAAAAATCAAGAAACCACATTTAATTCAATTCCTGATCAAGTGGAAAAGATGACAAATGTGGGGGTAGAATCTAGTAGTACTAGTCTCGCTAGTTTTGAATCAAATGAACTAGATGAGCCTAGAAGGAGCAAACGGGCTAGGACCACTAAGGAATTTGGAAGTGATTTTATCACTTACAATATTGAGGGTGATCCAGTTTCCTTTAGAGATGCAATGGCTACTTCCGAAGCCATGCATTGGAAGGATGCCATTAAAAGTGAAATGGACTCCATTGTTCAAAATGGAACATGGGAGCTCGTTGATCTACCTCCCGGGTGTACTACTATTGGGTGTAAATGGATTTTTAAGAAGAAATTAAAACCAGATGGAACCATTGATAAATTTAAGGCCAGATTAGTTGCCAAGGGTTACAAACAAAAAGAAGGTATTGATTTTTTCGATACATATGCTCCGGTTGCAAGAATGACCACAATTAGAATGCTTATAGCAATGGCCTCCGTATATGGTCTTAAAATTCATCAAATGGATGTTAAGACAACTTTTCTTCATGGTGACCTTGAAGAAGAAATTTATATGGACCAGCCTGAAGGATTTGTGGCAAAAGGCAATGAGAGAAAAGTTTGTAAATTAGTTAAGTCTCTATATGGACTTAAGCAAGCCCCTAAGCAATGGAACGAAAAATTTGATAAAATAATTCTTTCGTTTGGATTTACTCTTATAGATGCTGATCAAAGTGTTTATTATAAATGTAAAGGTGATATTAGTATTATTTTATGCCTATATGTTGATGATATATTATTATTTGGCACTAATGATAATATTATTTTTGAGACAAAGTCATTTTTAAAAACAAAGTTTGAAATGAAGGATATGGGTGTGGCTGAAGTAATTCTTGGACTAAAGTTGACTAGATCAACCGAAGGAATTTCTATTTCTCAGTCGCATTATATTGAAAAATTAATTGAGAAATTTGGATTTAAAAATAGTAGAATTGCTAAAACACCCTATGATCCTTCAGTAGCTTTGTATAAAAATGAAAGTGGTGTTCCTGTGTCTCAATTAAGATATTCTCAGATGATTGGTAGTTTGGGTTACTTAGCTAACTGTACTAGACCTGATATTGCATTTTCAGTGTCTAAGTTGAGCCGGTACACTTGTTGTCCAAACAGAACTCATTGGGAGGCCTTAGATAGAGTATTTAGATACTTAAAAGGAACTATTTCCTTGTGTTTGCATTATGGTAAATATCCTCCTGTTCTTGAGGGATATAGTGATGCAAGCTGGATAGCTAAGAACTCCGGGAGTTATATGGATGTACCGGCTATGTGTTTACATTTGGTGGTGGGGCTGTTGCCTGGAAGTCCACTAAACAAACGATACTTTCTCGGTCTACTTTTGAGGCTGAATTGTGTGCATTGGATACTACTGGAATTACGGCTGAATGGTTTATGGGATTAATGTCTGAGTTACCAATATTTAGCAAGCCAATTCCACCTATTTGTTTGCATTGTGATAGTATGAGCACAATTGCAAAAATTAGGAGTACCAAGTATAATCAAAAGACTAGGAGACACATTCAAGTTAGATTAAAAACTATAAGGAAATTTGTGTCTCAAGGGGTGTTTGCTGTTGATTTTGTTGGATCCAAAGATAATACAGCGGACCCGTTAACAAAAGGACATGATTTAAATCAAGTGATAAAATCCAGGTTAGGAATGGGACTGACACCCAATAATTATTCAACTACGGTAGCAACCCAACCTATCTGAGTGGAGATCCCATAAAGTAGGTTCAATGTGGTATAAACAAATCGTAGTGTGAATTGTGCATCTCATTAAAATATTTTATGAGTTCTATTCCTTGATAAGCCTGAGAGATGCTGAAATTGCTAAGTAAGTAAGAGTTTAAGACTCTGAATGGGATCGAGTTTTAATACCAGAGTGTTAGCAATGCACTCTTGGAGATGCCCAACTATGAGAATGTTATTGTGTGGCCGCAATAAGAGAATAGGGGTTAATTCTCGATGACATTCTTGAGACAGGATCGGGACACACGGCCGTAAAGCGTCAACCCTATAGATCGTTGCCATTGCCATTAGTGTGTTGTTTTTATCCCACACCAACACTATTAAGGTTCGAGTTCAAGAACTCTGTTCACTCAGTTCCTGTGGGGGTTAGGGATAAAATCTTAGAAGTTGGTTCAAACCGGAAGGTACCATATTCGAAAGCACACTATGTCTGTTAGAGTCTAGTCTGCAACTATGGATTTGTGGGGGATTGTTGGAAATATGATGATATAAATGTTATTTATTTAGTTCTCTTTTTTGAGTACTAAGATGATATGTATAAAATATGAATTGAGTGTGACCTAACATACATCAAAGAACAATTTTTTATGTTTGGATTTATATCATTTAATGATTAAAATCCATAGTTGTAAAGATTGTAAAAGTGATGTATTGTGAATTTTTGCTACGTTTATAAAATAGTTGGTCCTCTTTAGATTTATATGATAAAGGAACATTGTTCAAGTATTATATAAAATGACTTAGAAATTATTTCATCAGAATCACTTATTCGTACAGACTAATTAAATGAGCGTCGAATAAGGATTTTTGGACTGTAATTTCAAGAAAGCGGACCATATGATTTTATAACAAACATTTTAATATGTTTTGTTTATCATTGTGTAATGATAAATTGCCAACGTGACATTTAGCTTATTTCGGAGAATTTCAAAATTGAAATTTTGAACTACCGATGAGTAAGCTATTAGCTTGGTCAATGCAGTTGTGGATCCTAAAACTTTGGATGGTGGCAAAATAATAGGACCGCATATCATGTATATTTTATTCTGATTTCCGATTTAATAATCCACTGACATGCATGCTCTCATGAGATAAGTCATATAACACCTTCGTATGAAAAGATAATACATATACTCCTATTCATTCCTTCCTTACGGAACACAAGTACCAAGGAGCTAGATATTACTCCATTCTTTCTTTCACTCATTTTCACAAGCGAGTAATATTCTGCCTTCCATACGAGAGCATCAGTAATCCATAATTTCTCAAAAACTTATATCTACTTTCTGAGTCTACGGCAAATCGGGCAACGGTCGAAGTGTTTCTGTCAAGCAAGCTAAAGGACCGGAACAGAGGTAGGATTATCCTGGGAGCGAGTTGGCCAGTCCCGTTCGAGTAGCTATCGAGATACGGGGGCTATCTTTCTTCAAGGCCAGTCCGGTTAACGGACGATCTTACGCTAAGTCTTCTTTTCTATACTTTTTATATTAATATTTTATTTCTAATTATTGTTTCTATTTTATTTGTTCTTGCATTTGGTGGTTTGTCTGGTGATTTGTGTTTAAACTCGGGATTTTATCTGTCTAAACTCGCCATTTAAATACTATTTTTCTAACACTATTAAGTTTATCTCAAGAATTGCATGTAGAGAAATTTTTGTGAGAGACAATAATAGATTTCATCACTTCAAGAATGGTATTTGTTCATGCGGAGACTATTGGTGATGCTAATGAATACAAACATTGATATGACATACTAAAGTTTTGCTTATACGAGTAATTGTTATGGAGGTTGGTATATGATGAGCTACACACCTCAAATCAAACACCCCTATCGATGCATTTCTATTAACTTTGTATTAAACGTTTGCTGAGGCCTGAGAGGGGGATATTATACCCAGCAATTAAGTAGCCCCAATTTACTTTTTTATTTTTTGCAAGAGGACACAATCTTACCCAAACTGAAACCATTTACTCCGTAATTAGGAGCGAAGGAGTGTTTTGCTATTGTGAAAGTAATGGTTGCTATCGCGTGTGCAATCGAGGTTGTGGTGGTATGGATGGGCTCGAAACCGGCCCGTGTAACCCCCAGGTCCGGGCCGGGCCTCGGGTATACATATATATTTTTTTGCCTTTTCCTAATTAACCCCCAACCCCCCCCCCCCCCACACCCAAACCACCCCAAACCACCTCAAATGGCCCAAAATACCCAGCCCAATCCAAAAACTTAAAAAAAAAAAAATTAAAATGGCCCAGACCGGGCCTGAACTAGCCGGGCCGCTTCACGTTTTGAGGGGCCCGGACCGGA